TTTGTCTGACTAAGCAGGCCATGTCTATCTCTATCCTGGAATAGCATGGCAGTAGTAAATGTACCTTACAGTGGGTAATAATACTGAGATCCAATATAACGCATCAAACAACACTACAGATTATTCATAGAACACCACTCCATTCAGGAAAAAGGGACCCAAATTAGGAAATAATTCAAGTCTGGAAAATATTGTTTTTAAATTCCTCATACGTAAGAAAGTGAAATAAAGTAACAGTGCATTGCGTTTTGCTGGTGTATAAAGGGTTGGATTTCCCTGCCTCTTACAAGTGCTGAACAAATGGCATGGTGGCCAAAGTGGGATAATGAGGTGAAGCTCTGGTTTATCTGGCATTTCACACAGGACACCAGGTTGGGAAGGAGCTGGAGCTCAGCTTGTGCTAGGAATAAAAGCAGAGTCGGGTCCAGATGCTGCAGACCCGAGTTTCTCCAGCAACATCTGCTTTCATTTCAGATTTCTAACATTCACAGTTCTTTGCTTTTTGTGCAGTCTATCACTAGGCATGACTGCCTGGAGAACTGCTCAGGCACTGATTGCCTTTTATATTATCTACTGGCACTCATTTCAAGGCTGAATAATATGTTATTGGATAGGGTTTTGCCACATTTCAAACAACCAGGTAATTGGGAATAAACAAGTCATGACCGCAAACCGTGGAATGCTACTTACATCTCCTTTCACAGAGCATCTGCTGCCAAAGTTTTGGACAGGAGGCTAAAGATGTATGAGGTATTACCAAGACTTCATCCACACTACCAACAATTTTCCATATTTAATTTTATGGGCTTTACATAAATCAGTGCTGCACTACTATTACTGGACACATTTTAGGAGTTACCAGGAAAAAGGCAGTGCTTGGTCATAGGTATCTTACTATACATCCATTCAGTACGCAGGAGCTGCTGGTGTAGCAAATGAGACCTGACAGAGCAGTACCAAATGCTGAAGAAAGGGACAGGACGGAGGGAAAGGTAGACTCCTACATCCCACCGGGAGTTCACAAACTCCTTCCTCCTCTGAATCTCCTTCACCAGGTCAGTAAACCTGGCTCCAGCAGTCCCTGGGCCATGTTGTCATTGTGCATCTGTCAGCCTCCTTTATACCTTCAGTAGATACATGGAGTCCACATATGCAGGATGAAAACAGCGTCTGCTCAGGGCTAGTAAGAACCGCCAATGCTGGAGTCAGAGTTAACAGTGTGGAGCTGGAGGAACACAGCAGGCCAGGCAGCATCAGAGGAGCAGGAAGGTTGATGTTTCGGGTCGGGACCCTTCTT